TCTTTCCTCGGCCATAAAGGTTTGCTGACCATCACTAGCCCCTTTTTTATATTTTACCTATAACGATTGCGCAAAGTCTGACACACGCCTGGTTAAGTTGCTAAGATTTGTGTCTTCATGTACCTCATCAAAAGGCCAAGATATAGAGTATATATAGAATCTTTTTAAATAAGTCGGCATATGTTTGTATTATATGAAAGTTTATAAGTTTGGCTCATCGAATCAAAATTTAGCATAATAAAAGTTAGCTTGAATATGAGCGTAGACTTGATGCCATGATCTGATGATTGTCATATGACTGACAAAAGTCATAGCATGTTTTCACCGCAATCGGAGGAGAGTGCCTTAGATCCAGCAAAAACAAGAATGCTACAATAAAGCTAATCGACAGCTGGCCAAGAGGAATCAGCCTCCCTCTTCTGCTTGGTTCCTGTGAATCACTTCACCAAATACTTTTACTCGAAATGGAAGTGAACTCAACAAAATTAATAGGGCAAGCCTTTATCTCAAAATAGATGGGCTGACTGAAGTGACTTCTACTTTTTATTAAGGGGACAAAATAACCATGGATTTATCTTGAAGATAAAGTTTCCTAATGTCTTCAATAATTTAAGTACAAAATATCTGGTAATGCATTCAAAAATTATTTAAACATAATGCACGCCTACTCGCCGAGTAAAAGAAAGACAATATTTTAGATAAGGGGAAGCTCCAAAACGTATCCTTACGGCTCAATGTGAGCTTCTGGAGCTTGGATTCTTTTCTTAACAATTTAAAATTATCTAGTCATTCTACCATCTTGTCCAGTATCCTACAGGTCATCGGCAAACGGATCCAATCATTTAGCTATGGATCATATTTACTTGTTACTTTCTTATTTTATAATTAATCGTAAGTCCACTTTCCGCCAGTGGAATCTGCACATATTCGTTGTATCCTGAATAGATATATTGCTAAACGCAATAGAAACCTGGTCAATATGATTTCCATGCAATGTTCTTCTCAATGTTGTTAGTTAATTTCATTACAATTATGTGCTTGGTATATATTTGGACGTCAAAGTAGTCAATAATATTGTACTTCTAGATGTTTCATTAAAGTTAAAGCATTTCTTCAATTAACTTTATTTAAAATATTTGAGGATTATCATTTTTCAACTAGTGCGGGAGTTATGGTTTCATAGCTACCAAGATTCAGGGAAAGATTACGTATTCAGTCAAACTATTTGTCGCAAAGGCCATAAAAATGGGGAAGTCGAAGCTAGGCCAAAGGCGAACCAGACAATGATGGGAACTTAAAAAGTTGGCAAATATGTTTCAGTTACAGTGAAAGACTAGAAACTAGAATGGGTTTTATGCCAAATAAAGGAACAATATCGCAGTCGAGATAGAAAAAGGACCTAGCTTGCCTTTTCCCAGTCAGTATTAGTAAATATGAAGAAAAAAAATAATAGACTCCGTTATGGCAAACTAGAAAATGTGTCAGCTTCATATATTTCAACTTGGCCCAAGCTAAATATAAACACGGAAAATGGCACCCAATTTTTAAAATCTGCGTACAATTAGGAAATAGCAATCCTTGTATAGTAGTTTTTACCTTGAATAATATTACAAGCTGCCTTATCAAAAGCATCTTCTTTTTTAGCAATACCCGTTTTACACTTATTACTACTAAAATTATCTAAAAATATTTATAACTCTGCATAAGGATATGTCAAAAAGGAAGTGTTGCATGCAAATGCCAAAAAATGACATCTAAAAATCAATATAACTTTGCTATCTTGCAAACTATGTGATAAGGAATTGAGGATTTCATGAACCATGTCGAGTCGCTTCAACACAAGGTAAAATATCTACTTATGTTGCATATTTAATAAGCTCATAGGAATATCCGCTTAATCAAAGGAATTTTCATCATCTGTGCTCTTGTTAACTTAATATGGTCTTGCACACCTTTTTCATTATATGAATGGTGGTTATAAAGGCTACCTCTCGTTTTAAGCATGCAAACTTTTACTCATAATTTTGGGAAGACATATTAATTAAGTAGAAAAGGATTTGGATTATAAAAATCAACGAAAAATAAATAAATAAATGATTGTTAATAGGTTGTTTCAGACCCATGATAAAATTGTTATATTTGACTGATAGCGATCTTACTGACAATATATTAAGGAAGAAACTTGAATTTTGGATTGAATTTCAGTATATTATTAATTATTAAGCATAAACCAGCTGATGCCTCAAGATAATTTGTGCATCATGTTATCCTACATACTACTTAATCACGATGGTATTTATAGTAACTCTCATTCACCTGATAAATAACTAAATTCAGCACTAGCATATTAAACTATCTGAATTAGTATTAAGGAGCAAACAAAATGATTCGAGATAACTTGTGATAAGAATTAATTTCCACAAGTACACCTTATAAGAAAGCTACCCCGGTACTAATAAAGGCTCAGAGGACTTGAACGGCTCTCTTTTCTTCTTTGGATTCATCTTTTTTATAAAAGTCAGGAATATTTTATTAGCTTGCATAAGAGGCGACGCAACAGGACCAGGATATTTAGAAAGTTAATCCATTCTCTTATAGCCTCAAATGACAAGCATTATCATGTACCAAAATCAGTTGATCTAAGAATCGCTCTTTATTTTATATCTATCGCCCTGAATATCATTTTAACGGATTATGCAGTAACAATCTTTGTCCCAGTTTTCCATCTTAACTAACCCATTGACCATAGTTTATTCAAGACACTATCGCGCATAAAGGTATTAACTAAAATATATCTTGTCATTAGTAGTTTATTTTCCTAGTAGTTTTGCTAGTAATTTTCTGCCCTATGATTTACTATATAGTGTTATCCATATTCCTGATCCAGATCAGCAAGGTAGTGTCATCAACTCTATTTGCAGCATCTATACTGGGAAGTTTCATACAAAATCTTTTAGTAGCTCTTATTTCAATTCAACCTTCTTTTCAAAACTGTTACGCTGAGTGCCCTCTCACTGAGAGTAAAGACAGGAATATTCTCACTATGGATCATATAGCAAAGAGCTTGTATTAGAACGTTACATAATATTTCAAATGAGTGCCATTATGGAAGAGGCTGGCAGTCAAAATAATATGGCTGAAGTCGCTTAAATAGTTGCATCATACTACTCTGAGATTGATTACTTTAATGCATAATCAAATATAAAAGGAGAATAAGGCTAATTATTAATTGTTTCTTAATGTTTAACAGCATAAGATAAATAAAACTAAAGGCCTGATTTTCACAACTGCCTAACTTCTAGAACGCTGCAAGTTCAAGCAAATATTTATCTACCACGTAAATCGTCATTTGCTCGGTTTCTGCGAAAAAAACACTATGTCATTTAATATCCCGGCATATATGTAAATCTGCCTATAAAATGCATAATTCCTGCCGAATGCTTAACCCATAACCCTTGGAAACAGTATATATAATAATTATTCAATATATTCATAATATGTTAAAGCACATATATGTGCTAATAAATCAATTATCCTTGTGGATATTATATGCCAATTAGTTACAGTGCCTATTTAAGCAAACCTAATGAGCCAGTATTTTTAAAGATTAAGCTCTGCAAAAAAAGTATGTTTTGTCTTATTGTCTTTTACCCATTTTAGACGCCATTTAAGGGAGCAGCAATCCCATACCGGCCCAAAGTCTCCTCTTGTCAGTCTTCGGGATCGGCTGTGCTTTTTTCTAGCGGCAGCGAAACGCCTCCTGGCCCCATTCTTAGCCAAGCAAGTGGCAGAAGCACCTGTCTTGATGCCAATTCTGAAGTCGGCCACAGTGGCAGCGGCATTATCTGCCCTACTTCCGCTGGCCAAAGTGGCTTGCTAATTCAGTGCGCTAGCCAGCATAGTGCGTCCACTCTTAGGCCGATCTCGCCTATTGGTCTCCAACCAGGCCCGGCTGAAACTTCGGCTGCTGCCTGTGCAACCCTTTTTCACTCTATCCCATTGCCTTCAGTATCTCCGCCACTGCTCGCG